TGACAGGCTCGGGATCGGTGCAGGAGAACATCTGACCTGTTTTGGCCCCTGGTTCAGCCATGGTCAAAGTGCCCAGGCAGTGGGACGAGTCACACCGTGTTGGGAAGCCCATGGGGACGTCCTTGTCCACTGCGAATGTGGAGGGGTGCAAGGAACTGGCTCAAACGGGCTGTGTCAGCGGGTGGGAGAGCTTCAAGGGACAGGTCTCATGGACATGCTGGCCCAAGGGGACTTGTCTGCGTCCGAGGCCAGGGGATGTCTGGGGGTGTCTGACCAACATCGGCCAGTTTGATGGTTCAACAAAGAGGCTGTGGGGCCTCGCCCATCTCCCCTCGGTTCATGGTCTCTCACTGGATCTAGAGCAGGTCATGAAGATGTAGGATGGCATCTTGTTGGTGGTTGGTGTATGAAGCTGTTGAGATACATCCTAAAGAGGCATCGAGGCCATTCTCATGGTGTGAGAGAGACATCAGCAGTCACTGAATGCAGTGCAGGATGGGTTTCGCCACGCCATTCAGTTTGTCACCCTGGATTAATGTCTCTAGACCATCTCATGAAGATGCTGCTCCAGGGGGTTCATAGAGTGTCTCAGAGCCTCTGTGACAGCCTCTTCTGGGATTTAAATCTCCTGGTAGCTGGAAATCTTCCCGCAATACCTGTCCTATATCTGCCAGGCTTTGCCCCAAGCTGTTTGCTTCTTCTGCCAGACATCACCCTTTTCTTTGTAACAGCGAAGACTCGTCTTCCCCCTCATACTTTCCCTCTCATATTACATACCCTCCTTGCTGTCCAGGATGCAATTAATGATAATTAATGACAATTAATGATAATCAAAGTAAACCGGGGCCTGGGCACAGCCTTGAGCATTGACCGGGGGTGTCCAAACTCTTGCTGTGGGTGCACTCCCAGCATGGTGTTGGCCGGTGCCAACTTGGGCTTTGCCAAATGCCTGGGGAGAGCTGGGCCAGGGCAGCTCCAGCAGGTGGGTATGGACATGAGCTGGGCCAGGCCACTGGCCCCAGACCCTGGCCTGGGGTATTCAATGATTTGGATGCAACCAGGTGGTCCTCACCCAAGAAAACACTGCAGCCACGGCAGAAAATGGCTGTTGGACGGGGAGGCAGGAAGAAACCTTCCTCCTCCACGATGTCCCCAGCTGAGCCCTTCGGGGTAGGCAAGGCAGAGCAGCTCCCACGTGGAGGAGTCGCTGTGCGCAGCATCTCCCACCCTCTCTCTGGGCACGAGGCCACAGGACTTGCTGCTGGGCAGCGGAGGAAGCATCTCCACATCTTTCAGCTGTTTTTTCTGGTTCATACAACCCATAATGGTACTCTGAAGAGCAGAGTCTTGTATCGGGGGCTTCTTGTGTTTGGGAAGAAACAGTTTAGATGGGACCTGTTCTTGGAGGTGTTTGCGATGGGAGGTGTTTGCCCCTTCCCACCTCTGTTCCTGCTTCCAGGTCCCATAGGGCCACCTCCAAGCGTGGAGCCTCTGGCTTGCAATCAGCAAGCTCTGATTATGTCTCCAAGGTGGCGTGGACCAGGCTGGCCCGCTGTCTTCTCCTGCCCAGGGATCGCGTGCTCCTCGGGAAGGAAAACAAGGTGATGGCTTCATCTGGATTTTTGGTACTGCAGCCCTGAAAATGCTCTGCAGCTCAGGAGCCCTCTCTGGAAAACGAAAACTAAAACAACGTGACTTTTGTGAGTGTGCTGTTGCAGAAGACGCAATAAATAAGGAGACTGAACGGCACGGGAGCAATTTACTGCCACAAATGGCTTTTCACTCCAAGTGAATTGGGAAGATATCCAAAGTTTGACCTCTGAAAATGAAATTATTAGCCTGGCATGGGAAAAAATGATCCAGAGCCTCCAGCTTTTAAGCCTCCTCCTTCCATCCATCCCCAGCTTGCTTTTAACCAAACATGCCGGCGCCTCTTGCCAAATACGCGGCATAGTGCTACTGAGATGCGGACAAGTGTCTGCTGCTGCCCAGTGCTGCCAGTCGGCTTTAATTTTACCAGCGGGCCCTTTGCAGACATGAATCAGGCTGCTTTCGAGGGCTGGACCCAAACCAGGGCTCCACTTGTGAAAGGCAAGTGATTAAATGTTTGAACGAAGCAGCCAACTGGCATGGGAGCCTGCAAGCTGAGCGGGGCCGTGTCACATGAAGGCAACTTGATTTCTTCACCCTCAGCGTTATTCATGAAGATGCTGCAAGCAAGGAAAAATGAAGTCATTTTCTCACCCTTTTGCAAAATGATGATTTTTTTTTCTTTTTTTTTTCTTCTTTTTTTTCCTTTCTCCTGGGTTTCTGCACTTTCCAGCCACGCACTCCCCATTCTTGTGTGGTTTGCTGTAAGCTCGTGTTGTGCATGGCCAGGAATATGGGTTTGCTGACTTGTTAGAGGTTTGGAGCAAGCTATGGGGATGGTGTAAAGACCTGAGTAGGGAAAAGCCTCCTGCCTGTCCCTCTGATAGCATCCACCCCAAAATTACTGCAAATCTCCACCTCTGCAGATGCAACGCTGGCCCCACACCGCTGTGCTTGGACTAGGCGGTCTGGACAGCTGGTGGCCACCTTCTTTGAAGGTACAACTTGGAGAATCATATGCTTGAAGCCATCAACTCGATGAGGAGCTCAGGGCTGCTGGGCAGACCCGTAGGGCTTGAGTTGGAAGGGACCCATAGGCATCATCATAGACCCGTAGGGCTGCCCTTCCTGATGGCCACAGGGTCCGGCCATGGTAGAGCGTCGCTTAGGTTCATCCTGAGCATGGTCAGAAGCTGGAGGAGGGATGGCGGCCCACTAGGGCGTATTCACATGAGTGTTGCCTGGTTGGTGGGAGAAACACTCGCATTAAGCAGGCGGCATCTCCATTTTTGGCAAGATGGGACGATGCCAGCCGGGCTCTCTAAACCACTGCTTTACCCCAGGTGACAGAGCGGAGCATGGGATGGCTTTTAGTATCATTGGGGTGGTGAGTGCCACCGAGCTCCTTTTGGGGACCCTCCGCTATTCATCGAGGAGTCCTTCCAGCAGCATAGCGGGGTCAGCACCCACTAGCTTGCCTGACTTCATGCGGCGGGCGGCGGGAGCTGGGCACCATGCCACGGAAAACAGCCCTGTCCCCTCTCGCCGCATCCCCAGGCCACCGCAAGGTTTTAAAAGACCCATAAATGCTTCAGGGAGCATAAATGTCTTCGCTGCCTTCGAGCAACGTAATCACCCAAACTATCTCAAATCCCCTCGATGACATAACCTTTTAAGTCACCGTCAGTTTTTAGTGGGGCTGCAAGCACTTAAACCACTAATAACACACGTGGGCAGGCGTGTGCTTATTCACAAAAAAGCTTAAGCCCCGGCGTGTCCCTCTGGCTGGTCAGGGCTTGGGGACATGCCACGGGAGAGCGGGAGCAGCTGATGGGCTGCGGTGGGAGTTACGGGGTCCAGGTTCCTGCAGGTCTGACCAGGGTCGGAGCTTGGCCTGCAGGACCAGGCGATGGTTTTTGGTGTTGAACATTAAGGATGACTGAATTGGGCTTTCTGGCCCAAACCCCATGGTTGTTGGTGGTGATTATGGCCATGGTTTGTCCCACAGGTCCTGCTGCAGACTGGTCTCATCCTGCCGAAGGGTTGGTGTGTAACCAAGGGCTTTGAGATGGAGGGGCTTGATAGGGACCTGCTAAAATCCAGGGAGAGGGTGGATCACCAAAGGGGATCTCCTTCAGCAGTCATGCTGGGCGCCATCGCATCTCTCTCCCTGTGCCGCGGCAAGGTTAAACCCACCCCAGTGTAGGCAGGGCTGGACCATTTCTGGGCCAGACACCTCCAGTTCAGGAGCACGGTTGGAAACTGGCTCTTCTCGGGATGATAGGATCAGAGGAATAGAAAAATGCATGGTTTTGTGCTTTTTGGGGCAAAAAGTGGATGAAGTGGGCTTGCTGTCCCCATGGACAGCCCCATAAATGAAGAGCATGGTTCAACCCACTCCAGACAGACCAGTGCCATGTAAAGCCCGGCAAAGCCAAGGGGCTGAGCCTGGTGGGATGGGGCAAGCCAGCATGGTCCTGCTCCGTAGGGCTGATGCTTGGCTGTCCATGTGCTGATAGCGCTTGTCCAGGGGTCTTTGAGAGAATGAACTGAAGCTCTTAGGGAGAGCAAAAGGTTTTCCTTCAGAATGTGTTTCTACCCCAAAATGTCTTTTTTATTTCTTCTTCTTTTTTTGGGTATCAGTGAAAATGTCTCCTAAATTCAGGCTCTCCTATCTCCCCCACCACTCCCAGCCCTTCTGGTCTCCCTGAAGGAAATTCAGTCCCATAGCATCACCCTGAAATCACCTGTCCACCTTTCAACAAGCACTTCTACTGACCTATTTTAGAGTGACAACTCTAAATTTTGCCTCAAAAACACCCATTCTGTTCCTCGCTTGCAAAGGGAGTCCAGCTTGCTCAGAGAAGTTGCCATTTGGTCAGATGGGTCCCAGCCTAAAAAAACAAATCATGGCAAAAAAAAAGGCTTTTGGGGAATGTATTCAGTCTGGGGTCTGGTGGATGGGATGTGGCCATCGTGGGGGACAGCATGAAGGCACAGAGCTGTCCTTGCTCTTCTCATCACGGAGGGAGGAGAGCTCTCCCAAGGACTGTCCCTTTCTCACACGTAGCTTCTCCTGGTTGACTTTCAGGGCCGGATATGTTCTGCGACTTCAACGGCAAGAAGTACAGCCCGGGTGAGAGCTGGCATCCCTACCTGGAGCCGCAGGGGCTGATGTACTGCATCCGCTGCAGCTGCTCCGAGGCACGTCCCCCATGAGGTGCCGCGGGAGGTGGTGGGGATGCTGCTGCGTTGGGGCATCGCTTTGGCACCTTTTAAGCAGATTGGTTCTGGTGTCTAATTTGACCAGAGGGGCCCTTTCCAGTCCCGTAGGGATGCTGGATTAATCTCTTTCCTTTTGAAAAAGCCCCATGTTGCCCTGGGGTTGTTGGGTTGACCTTGTGAGGGAGCTGTCTCAGTAGCGTTGGTGGGCTGTGGGTGGAGGTGGCTCAGGGCTGCTGTGGGACCATGGGTGGTCTTTGATGACGAGAGATGAGACCACGTGAGCGGGCTGACAGCGGGGCCTGAGCCAGGGATGGAGACATCCTTGACTGGGTGAGCTACACCAGCACAATCTATCGTGATAATGGGGCCATCACCCAACATCTTCCTCCTCTTGCAGGGGTGAACGTGTGGCTGAACGAACTGTCTTTCTCTTTCTCTCCCCAGAACGCCAACATCAGGTGCTACCGGATCCAGTGCCCGGCTCTGCAGTGCGCCAGCCCCGTCACCGACCCCCAGCAGTGCTGCCCGCGGTGTCTCGGTAGGTGGACAACCCAAGGGGAGGGGGGTGACAAGGTGGCCACGGTCCTGCAGGGCGTACCTCAGCTGCAGTCACTTGAACGCTCAGGCCTGGGGCAGCGCAGCCATGCTGGGTCTGGCCCCGCTCACGGGGGTCGCAGCAGCGGTGGCAGCTCAGGCTGCCTGCATTGCTCTTTCCCCACCAAAATGTCACTTACATGGACAAGGGCTCTCTACCAGACCACTTTCTCCAACTCCCCCCCCATCCCAAGAGCCTTGCAGGGACAAAATGTCAGTTCACAGTTCAGTGACAAACCAGAAGCCGGCACTTTATTCAGCTCATTTGCCAGCAAAATGTGTTGGGTACGGGAAAAAAAAAATTTTGAAAATTTTTAACAAAATTCTTGAATTTTTCCCTCCCCTGGATGTAATGACCTTCAACATCAGACGGAGTCAGATAAAAAGAGCTTCTCCCATGGGTAATGAGCTAAAAATAGGGTTTTTTTCCTAATTTTTTTCTCTAATTTCCCAAATCGCCGGTGGTTTTTGACTAGCTTTGCCACCACTCTGGCACAGCGGGGGACAAGACCGCGAGAGGTCAGACTGCCAGGTTTTACCTCTGTGCTGAGCTCAGCGCGGTCAGGGCAGCCCCATTCTCCAAAAGCTTTTGGGCACATAAATCCCTACGGGCCATGCAATGCTCCCGGCCGCTTCTTCGTGGTAACTGCGGTGTGTAAAGGGCTCCTCATCCTTTCGGGTCGGGCTGATGGGGAATATGCCGAGCACCCGCGCTACATCGGAGCTGGGTAGGGGCTGGCTCTCACCCTGCTGCTTTCTCATCTTCTTTTCCAGAGCCACATTCCCCTTCTGGCCTCCGGGCACCCGTCAAGTCCTGCCAGTACAACGGGACGACGTACCAGCAAGGCGAGATGTTCACCACCAGCGAGCTCTTTCCCAGCCGCCAGCCCAACCAGTGTGTGCAGTGCAGCTGCTCCGTAAGCTACCTGCGAGCCCGCGGGAGGTGGGGAGGGCTCGGGATCTGGTCCTGCACCCCAACGGTGTCCCACCAGGTCAAAAACCTCATGAGGACCATTGGGTGGTACCAGCCCATGGTGGGATGATTTATTGTCAGGATCAGGTTATTGGTGCAGGAGACTGAGCTTCCTCTGACCTTCCTCTGAAATGGTGCTGGGTCCTCCCTGCCCAGTGACTAAGGACCACGGCAGAGCCGGGTGCGTCCCCCTCTGCCTGGGTGCGTTGTCTGGCCTAAACCCAGAGCAGGGTGTGCTGCAAATATCCGCTGGGCCCTGGGGTCGGAGCACAAAGCACTCGTCTGTGTCTCCTCCCTAGCGGGAACAGCACGAACAAGCTGCTCCAAGGGTGGGTTATTCACTGGAGATCCCACGAGCCAGTTCTGGGCGGATGCCACTGGGGCTCCTTGGGGTAGGCAGGGGGACAGCCCTGTCCCCACTGAGCACACCGAGGGGTGCATTTGCCTGCTGCGAGGACCAGTGCTCTGGGGCTGTCCCCGCAGCATCCAGCTATCCCACCTGCCCCGCTGAGGCATCGTATGGCAGATGGCTGTCAGAGAGAACCACCGGGAGCCTTTCCGCATACGTGCTCGCTGCAAAGCAGATGGGGTTTGTAGCCAGGGGAACCTAGGGGAGCTCAGCGTGCCTGCAAGGCAACACGGACGCGAGGTGCCAGCTCTTGGGCTTCGGAAGTTCTGGGGACGTCGAGCCCCATGTTGAGCTGGTAAGATTGAGCTGAGCTCCAGAAAGGATTTGGTGGCTCCCAACCACTGCTGGGTGCCTGGGTCTCGCGGTGCCTCCAGCAGCCAGCTCTTGCCCTGCACGGATGGAGCTCACCCCCCGACGCAGCCAGGAGATGACAGCAGAGAGACAGGGGCAGTGGAGCCTAGCAGTCGGAGATGGCAATGGGCGGGCACCTGGCGATCTTCATCCCCCTTGCTTGGATTTAAGTGGAAGCTGAACCCAGGGCTGAGACGTGCTTGAGCACCCGGGTGGCCGGGCTGCACCAGGAGCTGATTTCACCTGGAAACTCCTGCAGTGTGTTCACCAGCCCTCCGGGCCATCGTGTGCAGAGCTGTAGCCTGGAGATATGCGTGTGTTTTCCAGGCTGTCCGTGAAAAGCATTTGCAAGAAGCGTTTACCAATAAAAACCCAATTGGTTTATCTGCTCTGCCCTACCCGAGGGCTGCAACAGCATCCGGGATGCTATGTGGTCCTCGGTGTGCATCCCTGTGGTGGATTGCCCATCCACCACCCGTCTGCCAGCACCTGAGGGACGTTCCTCCTCTGTGAGCCTCCAGCAACGCCCTGAGACAGGGCTTGGCTCCAGCCCTCTCCCACAGGCTGGGATTCTGCGAAAACCCATTGAAAACCGAGTCCTGACGCTTCGCTCGGGAGGCGTGAGGCAGCCTGGCCAGCGGCGATGGGGAAGGTGTGTGGAGCGGGGGGCCGCGCGTGCCAGGAGCTGAGTGTCGGGAGATAAATGGAGCAGCTCCTCCTCCTCGAGAGGGAGCGAGGAAGGGGAATAGAAAGTGCTGATGCTGGATTTGGATGCTGTGGGGAACTGCTTGCAGCGGCTACAGCCTCTGCCATAAAAAAGAAGAGGGTTGCAGACTTGGCTTTCACTGCTCATCGTACAGAGCCCTTGGATGGGACCAGGCTCCACTGGTCTGTGCTTTGCTTGTGGCAAAAAATATGACTAAGCTTGGCCAGGAAAGAAAAATGTGTGAGGGAGCCCAAACCACCTCCCTCTCTCATGCCAAGAGCATGCACACAGTGGTTACCATCAGCTGATGCTTGATAGTAAAGTATCTGTGATACCAGGATAGCTGGTCTGAGCCTTTGGTGCTTGTGCATATTTTGGAGCTAGGTGGCTTGGAGCTAGGTGGCAAGAGGAATAGCTTAGACGTAGAAATTATACAGTTTTGAGGCTGGTTCCTCTCTGATGGACCCCAGCTGGATGCCAGCTCGCCAGGCTAGGGACAGACGCCAGGAAGGAGCCCCCAAACCCGACTGTACGTGCCCACCTGGCCCTGCTTTCCCACCCCCGTCCCCAGGAGCCTGCAGACCTACGTGTCCCTCTCGGAGGCACTGGCTCTCGCTCAGGCTCTGTTTATTCGGCGGGATAATGCCTTGGATACGAAGGGGAAAATAAAAGGATGGCTGTGGAGCCTTGCAGCGGCAGGGTCTCACCGGGCTGTGTCTGATGTTGTCAGCTGCTAGAACAGCTGCGGGAACAGCTGGTCTAAACCTCTTTGAAAACCGCCCTGAGACCAGAGCCTCCGGGATAAATCCTGCTTTTTATGACATTTGCTCTTTCCCGCCCGAGGCAGGTCTTCGCCGTAAGCTGCCGGTCAGAAGGAGAATGAAGGAAGAGGCTCTGTGGCCAAACCCTGCTCCCTGGAGGTCTGGACCCCATGGAGGTCCCTGAAGCAGAGAGCAGGGTTCGGTTTGCAGCGACCTCCACCAGATCCTCTCATTTACCAAACTTTCTTCCTCCTCTTCACATCCCCTGCACAGCGGCTTGGCTTCCTGATGGTAGAAGAAGCTGCTGTGGTTTGGTTTTCTAAGGAAATCCTTGGTTGACCTCTTGGTTTCGGTTGACTGAGAGCTTAGGGATATCCCAGAGAAAACTGCTGCATGGAGAAGAGGGCCTTGCTGTTGAGGTCTGGCTGCTGTTGGGCTGCTGAACATCCTTCTCTACCCTTCCGCAAAGCAGCAAAAACACAGCCCTGCAGCAAACGGCTGCAAATCCATTGACTGAAGTGGGGCTGGGATGCACTAAGGTCAAGGCTGGCCTTGGCCTGTGGTTTTCAGCTGGAATCACTACAGCAATGATGTTTTCCAAACTAACTACCAAGCCAGTGGAAGAAGGTCTATGCCTGAACGTCCATCCACAGCTCTCGACCCAGTGTCTTTGTGTGCTTGACTCTGGTGTTATCGAATAACCCAACACAGAGGGAGGGCAGAGCTGCGGCGTGGACCTGGGTCTGGGTTCGGCATCACGCTTCCCCTTTCCACCTGTCTCCTCCAGGTCCTTGTCGTGGGAGATGGCAGAGAAAAGGGTTTTGTCCCACTTCGAGTTGGTGGGTGCTATGCAGAGTTTACAGGTGTGTGGTGGCTGTTTCAGATCTGGTAGCACTAACGATGCCCTAGAGCAAGGCACTGCCTCCCTCTTTTTGGGGAAGACCACTCCACTCATGAGCGTGTCGACTGGCAATCGGTGAACCAGCCATGCTAGGAGAGGACACCATCCACCATGTTATACCCCGCAGGATGGAGAGCGCGGCAGGGGCAGATTTTCAGCTTTTATCAGTTACTAGGTGATCGGTGATATTTGAGGATGGACTGTTGGGGTGCTTGTGATTTATGCTAGATCTGCAATCTGAAGTGCTGGCTCCCCAACACGGAGGACATACAGCCCTGTCTGGACCTTGGTAATGCTGACAATGCTTTTTTTTATCTCCTGCCCTCCTAGGAAGGCCAGATTTACTGCGGCTTGGTGACCTGCCCGGAGCTGTTGTGCTCCTCTCCCCTAACCGTGCCGATTCCTGCTTTCAGGTCTGCAAAGGTAATGAGGGGCCCAGGAGCTGCTCCTGAGCGAGGGCTGGGAGACCCCAGCTGGTTGCCACCAGCTGGCAGGAGCCATTTCAAGCCACTTTAGCAGGATTTTGGAAGCCTGTGCTGTAAATCAGGCCACTTGCTGTGTCTTGGTTGCACCAGGAAACAAAAGATGAGGGCTCATTCTTTTCCTTGCGTGCTTCTCCTCCCACACCTAGTTGTGTCCTGCCTCCCAGCAGCCCGTATGCTGGCTGGGGCTGAGCTCTTTGCCCTGCCACTGGTACATCATGCAAGAAATATGACCTGCACGGAGGGCAAAGTCCTCCAGACCACTCACCCACCAGGATGCAGGTGGTTGTATGGACCACGTAAAGATGGTGCATGCTGCTATTGCTCCAGGGAAGTTTCCAGGACAGTCAGGGAATCCCCCCCGCTTCCACCCCAGTACAGCATGGCTGAGTTTCACTTCCACAGCTCTCCGTGGGGGAGAAACTCTTGAATTTGCTGCTGGTTCCCCTAACTTGCACCTGGGAGGGTGAGGAGAGGATCAAGCTCCATGTCTCCAGATGAGATGGACTCAAGAGCGAATGGGCAGGTTCACACCTTGCTGACAATGAAGTCACAGCATAAAATGACTCTTTAATTCGAGCAATATTTATGAAGCTGGAAGGCCATGGTGGTCTCCTGGCCATGGCCACATAATGACCTCCTCCAAACTCTCCTCCTCTGCAATTTGTGCTCCTGTCTCCTAGTTTTCTTTGGTGCAGTCGGGGCACGTCATTGACTCGGTGACAAATGTCTTTGGATTTCTTTTTAATGCCAGATCATCCCCATCATGACATACTCTACCTCTGGGGTGTTTTCCTGCCACCTAACTTCAGAAGTCTGCAAAGCCATGTCTTTCCTGGAGCTGAGCTCTTGTTAATAGTCAGTGGGGATAAAAGGGTTTTTGGGGTATGGCTCCCATTTGCTTTGGGTGATGTCAATTGCATAGTCAAAGCTCTTCTCTCCAGACCTCGCAGGTGGGCCAGCACCCTGAAGACACCTGCTTTTAGTCAGCTGCACCCCAGAGAGCAAATCCTCATTCAGCCCTGCAGCATTTCACAGGACAATGGTTTTTCCTTGCAGATGGCTCATATGAGAAGTCCACGGAAGAGGAACCCCTGCAGTTAAACAGAGGTGTTGTACGTGAAGTTTGCATTTTAAAACTCAGATTATTGCTTCTAGCACAGCCCCATTAAACAGCTCAAAGAAAGCCATTTGCCCTTGGCCGTAGTCTTCTACAAAGAAACGACCCACAGCAGCTCTAGGAGGGCAGTCAGTTCCTTGGATAGCAGAACCACAGACACCTGCTTTGCAGATGAATCGTGTCTGGGAGTTGACTTTAGGTGAGGGCTATCAGCATGGGCTGAGACCTCAAACCACCAGGGAAAGACTCTTGTCCTCTTCCTCTGAAGCATCTCTGATGTCTTTGGAAGAGCAAAAGACCTGCAGGAACTGGAAATCTTGGGCACTTCTCCTTGTTGGCCAACCTGGCTGAGGTTGGCCAGTAGGTTAAAACAGCCAAGGAACATGGACAGAGCAGACTCAGAGGTGACCGACAGCCAGACGTGACCCTTACCCATAGAGTCAGATGGCCCAAATCTCTCTTTGGGGGCTTTTCCTTCAGGAGATGGTGTCTCCTCTCCACCCTGGGCTGAAAGGTGTCTTGCCTTCCAGTCGTAACTCCCACAGAGCAGCCAGTGCTGGAGCTGGCCACCAGTGTGATTTCCCCAGGCTGTTTGTATCGGCAGCCCCAGCAAGGAAAAAGTGACTCCTTGGCTGCCGAGGGTTGATTCACGGTGACATTTCAGAGCTGGGCAGCCCATGCCAGGTCTGTGGGATTAGGTCACTTACAGCTCCTGGCCCTGCCCTTTTCCATACTGCTGGGTGAAACGCCAGCGTCACACCTCCACCACCTATAAAACCTCCAAAATAGACACAAGGGGACCCTTTGTGCTGCATGTCTTGTCCCAGCAGTTTGCTCTTGGAAGCCCAGGATGTTCCCGGGATTTCAGTCCTGCTGGCTGGCAGCCCCACACCAACCCTCCTGGTGCCCGCCAGGTGAGAGGGCAGGATATGGCCCATCTTTACCTCTCTGATCCTGTTTGGGTTGCACGGATGCCAGTCCTCGGTTTCCCAGCAGGCATCTAGCAAAGACCAGCCCATTTCCCTGCCTGTGTTAGTGATGTAGGACCTCACATTATTCTCTGAGGGCATCGGGTTGAGTGTGGGAAGAGAAGGGTGCTGCCCCAATGAGGGTGACCCACATGCAGCATAGGGAGGACACCAGTGTGGGGCATTGACACAAACTGCTCAGCACCGCTTAGGTGGTGGCAGGCACCAAGATGGCTCCCGGGTCATTGCTCATCCCTGTGGCCTCTGGACCTTCCACTCCTGATGGAAGGTGTGCAGGACACTGCATGGCTTTTTCCAGCGTGCTTTGGAGTGAGAACAACCCAACTGCCTGGGTCTGAGTCCCCTTCTTTTCTCTGACTGCTCACAGAGGCACTCGCAAGACCAGTGCTTGGGGGAAGCGATGGGCAGGAAGCCACTCGGAGCCACCGAGTCCACTGTTCTCAGTTCTTCCCTGGAGTTCATTCCCAGGAGCTTCAAACCCAAGGGAGGAGGTGGCACCACCGTGAAGATCGTCTTGAAAGAGAAGCACAAGAAAGGTAGGGGATGGAGGGGCCAGGCAGTCTGTACATGACCTAAGGTGACTTCTCCAGGACTTTGAATTCTCCGGGGAATCTGTTTCAGCAGCCGGTTTCCACCATCAAGTCCTACTTCCCACTCCTCCACAGCCAGCCTCACCCAGCTATCTCAGCCCTGGTGGCCCAGAGCCTCTTGACTGCATGAATCTACCACTTTCCAAGAAGATTGGTCCTTGGGGTGTTTTGGAGATCTGGGACCTGGGAAGGGAGGTGCTCAGCTGGAAGACTCCACGTGGTCCTTCCAGGACAGTGCTGCAGAGGGACAGGATGTTCCTCCTTGCACCTACCTGCCATGTGCTGGGTCTGTCCCAGAGCTGTGGTCTTCCTCCTGGAGGAGAGAGTAAGAAAGTGAGATGAGGAGGCAACCCCATGAAGCCAAAGGGGAAAAGACAGGTCCCTTCTCCTCTTGACGTCTCTCCCACCACTGTGTCTCCAGAAGGGCTCTTTCCAGTCCTTGGAGGTGAAGCCCTGGAGGAAATTTTGGGACCTCCAAAAATTTTCATGGAGGAGTCAGCAGGTGGCACTCTTCACTGTGCTTCATGCCTGTGACAGCCTCGGAGAGACCCTGGGCTTGCAGAGGCTGGGAGGCAGGTGAGGTCCTGCCCACACTTACCACTCGCCCCCACCAGGGTGGTTGATCCCAGCAGCCTCCACCTCCTGGAACCTGGTCCCCCTGCCCCATGGCACCTCCTTGGTGGTGTGGCTGCAATATCCCAGTGTCCGCTGTTGCTGGATGTGCTGCCAGAGGACCATGCTCCTCAAGACAGCAGGACCATCCGTTTCTGAGGTGGTGAAATGTGTTGAGCTCCACCAAGCCTTGGGTGTACAAAGAGGAGGAGGATTTATTTCCACCAGCAACTCTTTTCTTTCTCTCCTCCAGCTTGTGTTTACAACGGGAAGACCTACTCCCACGGGGAAGTGTGGCACCCCGTCTTCCGGCTCTACGGCCTGCTGCCCTGCATCCTCTGCACTTGCAAGGACGGTGTCCAGGACTGCCAGAAGATCACGTGCCCCAAGGAGTATCCGTGTGACTACCCAGAGAAAGTAGATGGGAAATGCTGTAAAATATGTCCAGGTAGGTGAGATCCCACCTGCTCCTGCAGCTGCCTTCCAGTTCCTTCCTTTAGCCTTCGTTTAAAGCCCAGAGCAGATGTGTAGGTCTTCAGATCACTGGTGACTTGAATTCAGGGCAAGCGCTGATGTAAGGGTTGGCCTGTCTTGGAGGGCAGCAGGACTGACCCAAGGTGCATCTGTTGGGTGGGTGTAGTCTGGAGAAAGATGCCCAAAGAAGGGACATGCTAAGAGTCTTCAGACAGATAGAAGATGCTTTCTGGGGAGAGGGTACGGTCTGTTCTCCAGATCTCCAGCTTGGACAAGAAGTCATAGGGTTAAATTGTGGCAGCTGAAACGTAGGTTTGAGATTGGGAGGACACTTTCCAGGTGCGGGGTTATCTGTGGCACTCATGGTTTTGTTTGAATTTGAGTTGAGGTCCCCATCCCTGGAAGGGGAGAGTTAGGCACGCAACTGTTGGGGTGGGCCAGGTAGAACTGGGCTGGTGCTGAGGCTGGGATATGGTGGAGAGGACGCCTTTTTTTTTCATGTTCAATGGGTTTTGGGTCTCTCAGTTGCTTCCTGGTCTTTGCAAAGCTGTTTATCTTAAACCACAGACCTGGCAAAGGTGTGGCAGGGCATGAGGTCTTCTACTGTTCCCACTGGAGAATGTTTTCTAGGCTATACCTCTCTGTACTATCATTTGGCAGTAGATGTTTAGATGATGGACCACCCACTGCTTCCCTAGAGAGACTAAAGATACCAAAGTCTCTTTGAGCCTGACCGCAGATGCAGCAATTTTGCTGTGCGATCTCCTCTGATGTGCATCTTCAAGGTGGTTTCGTGGAGGGGTCTCACCAGGGGGAATAAGCAAGGGGCATTGCCACGTTTAAGAATGGGGGCAAACAGGCTGCAAAATAATTTCAGCTGTGATTTTCAAGGTTTTCCAGCCTTTGAGCAGGGAGGTTCTGGGATGGCCTCCCCAGGGGAGCGAAGGGCAGAAGCTCAGCTTGTTTTAATAAGGTTTCTGGTATGTTTATGAGCAGGATTTATGACATGGTGCCTGGTGGGAATGGGATGTGATGACTGAGCAGAGCCCTTCCAGTCTTGCATTCCCATTATAGCTGGTCTTTCTGGTTTAAAGTCTACAACTTTCTCTGCTGGGATCTCTTGTCTGCTGTTCAGTCTTCATTTATATCCAGTTAAACACTCCGACCCAGCCAAAATTATTTTCTTCTTGCTTTCCAGTACTCACAGATAGCAATCACACACACATACATACTGCTCAGCCAAGTTACATGCTTCTCCTCTGTTTCACTGCACGGAGGTTTTGCCCATCTTCTTTTTCCAGGCAGTTTCCATGGCTGTCCTCCTCTTCCTCCTTCGTACCCAGTAGCTTGGAGAGAAACGCTGGGCGATTTCTGTTTGCAAAAGGGATCCCGATCGAAGGGGAATTGCCGCGATGCATTGGTCGGATGGGGAAACCATCGCGGCTGCTGGGGGCAGAGCTAGTGGCCGGGACCCCTGGGTCCCTGCTCCTCCTCCCCAACGCTGTTGGCCATTGAGTGGCTTGAGCGTGAAGCTCCGAGGTTGTTAAATACTCATTGTACCTGCGAAGACGTGTGGTTCCTTCCCTGTCGTGAAGGTGGGGCTGCCTCGATCGATGCAAAGAGCAGCCCTGGAGTGGGTGAAGCCCTGGTCTGGGACGGAGGTTGTCCTGCACCTGGACCCCGCGGTGGCAGGGATGAGGGTTGGGGGCTGTGGTCGTCCCCCTTTGCATCACGCTGAGTCTGCAGAACTGAACGCTTGTCTTCCTGTTGCTGAAAAAGCCTGGCTTTGCATCCCTTTAATTTGGGATTTCCATCCCCTCTCCGAGAAGAGTAGCTCAGGACTGCCCCAGAAAGCACAGGGGAGAGCAGAATTAGGCCTAAAATAACTGCCCTACTAAAATAAACCCCACGCGTCTATTTATAGCCAAACTTTCTTTCTAGTAGTGTAAAAAGCTTCAGCATCCAAAATGATGGGGAGAACAAGGCTAAATTCAGCAGAGCTGGGCTCCTCTGCGTTCCAGGGACCACAACCAAAGGCAATAAATCTCCTTCCAAAACCATGGGGGATTCTTAATTACTCCAGATACATTAAAATATTTTAAAAATTAGCAGCTCTCCTTTACCAAGGGTGTTGAAAAAGTCACGTAGGGTCCCGCCGGTGCCCCTGGTGTGGGTCTCCCCACCATTGCACCCCATGCGGGGAGGGGGCTCGGGCTGGGGCTGAGCCCACCCGTGGGGCTGAGCTGGGCGTGCTGCCCAGGCAGCCCAGCCACGGCGCTGGCTCCCGTGCTGCAGGCTCATCCCTTCGCTTCACTGACGTTGCTCCTCCGGCAAGGCAACGGGAGCGAGATGGGAAGCGGGCAATCCAGCCTGGGCTTTGCAGTGATGATGGCACCAAGGTCCCTGTGGCGGGTATGGCGGATCCAGGTGGAGAAAATCCCCCTTCCCTATCCCCGCTGGCATAGAGGCTGCGAAAATCAAGGGGAATGGAAAATACGGGGATGAACAGGTCCACAGATCCTTTATCGACATCTCCCTTTGCTGCTGATCTTGGCGCTGGGGATCGGACCCTGGGAGCCAAGGTCCCATTCAGAGATGCGGCTGTGCCACATGGCATCAAACTCAATGAAATGCCTTTTCCTCAACTCGGGTGCTGAGATGGCTCCTCCAAGCTCCTTCCTGCCCCTGTTTAATGAACTCTGTCCTTGTTTTTGCCCAGAAACCAGAGTCAAACCCACCGACGAAATAGTCACCACCCGGTGTGGCAAGAACCCCAACCGTGTCCTGGTGTACATGTTTGTGCCGCCGAGCTCAGAGACCTCCAAGGAGATCCTCAGGACAATCGCAATCGAGAAGGAGCCCACGGAAGAGGTGGAAATCTACAACTGGAAGCTGATTAAAGGTGAGCACCGTAACGAAACCAACCAGCAACGGAGGGGGTGTGTGTGGAAACCTGTTGCTTTCCAAGCTTTGTTCAATTTTTCAGGCTTTTCTCGCGGTGCTCCAGACCTTGTGTAGTGAGTTGAAACCTGCTGACAGCAGGTTGGCTTTTCTAAAACTCCCCCCTTTCACACTCTTTTGCTGCAGTTGCACACAGACCAGGGGCTGGAAACCACTTTTGGCCCCAGTGTATCCCGCCACGAGCTGCAACACCATCCAGAGGCACAGCATGTGGGCAAACAAGGCAGGGGCCACGGCGCTGCTCCTCCAGACCTGCCCGCTTCCACGCCAAACGCACGTGGAAAACAAACCAAAAAATTGTTCTGGTCATTCCATATTTTTGCTTTTACTCTTTTTTTTCCCCCCAGTCCACCCATCACTGGGAGCAAAGCTTGCAGAGCTGCTGCAAAGGTGCACGCGGGATGAATTGCCCCCAGCCCACTTTTTGGACGGGTGGATTTGGATGCTCCTGTTGGTGTGTCCTCCAGAGGTCAAAGCATGGCAAATACACTGTCAAATGACACCGATCTCTTGCTCTGTCCCCGTACCTTTAGCTTTGCAACACTCTTATGGACCAGAGGAGCCTATGTCTACTAGAGACGCTTGGTCCAGTAGGTATTTGTGTTTTGTTTCTCTTGGGCCCGGGAAAGCATCAGTGCCCCAACCCCGCGTCTCCATTGGACGTACTCTACCCCTTGCAAAAACTTGTGCCTTGAGAACTTGAGGTTGGTCGTACCCTACCTATGGATACAGTGGCCCTCAGCCCGTGTAGCTGGGTGTCTTCTGGACATCTGTAGGCAGGTATTCTGGTCTCCTGGGTATGTTCATGTCTCACCTCTATCCCTAAGGAGACCTCAGCCCTCCTGGGGCCGGCTCTTCCCAGCCACCGAGGGTGGGCACACTTGGATAGTAGCCGGAGAAATTAACTCCTGAGATGGAGCCCTGGCTGCCATCATGTTTCCATCCTCCCCCTGCCATCCTCTGTCTTCCACGGTGCCCCTCTCCCTGTCCTCCCCCCTGCCTCGGCAAAGCCTCCTTCACAATGGCACCTTGTAGCTGGAGGACAGCTCTGAGCCTGCACTGTCTGGGCCCCACCATTTCCTCTCCTCGCTCCTTGGCAGAGGTCGCCACCCAAACCTTCTTGCCACCTTCTGAGGCCAAAAGCTTTGCGTCTGCACGGAGCTCCTGAGCCCTGCCAGCCAAGGACAGGGGAGGCCCTTGTCCCCGAGGCCAACACAGCTCTTTTGCTTGGCAGAGCGAAGTGTTACTATTGGGAAAGAGCATGAGCTCAGTCACATATGGATTCCACCTCTCCATGGTCCATCACTCTACCAACAGAGCAGCGTGTGTGGAGAAAAGAGGCTGCAAGTTGCGCCTGGAGCCTGTCCATCTGCCTTTGTATGGGCTTATGATACCTACGTGGCCTCATCTATTTCTGTGCCGGGACGGTTTCCTCCATGAGGCAGGAGGAGAAATTGGTGCCAACACCCAGCCAAAAGCTTTACCCAGCTTGCTGGTGGTGCACGACCAGCCCCCAGCTGAGTGGCAGTGGGGGCTTCCCCGTGTTTTTAGGGATCTGAACACCTCAGGAGTTTTGAAATGTGACTTTCTGATGGTGTAGAGCAAGAATTATCATGGGGTGTGAGGACAACAAAGGAACAGGCAGGACCAGAGAGGGACCAGCATGGTTTGAAGGCTCTGTCGTTGACTCCTGCCCTTCACCCTGCCTCGCTGGAGGCCTTGGCTGTACTTGGAGGTGCGATCCCCCCATGGATCTCTTTCCCACATTTACCCTGCCAGGCTGTTGATTAGACATTGATCAAAATACTCCTTTCTATCCTGAAAACCTGCAGCTCTGGGAACTTCAGCAATCCCCAGTGTTTCACCATGCTGGTATACCCTCGCACCTGGATGGGAGGAGACCTGCGGGGTCTGGACCAGCCATCCCCATGCTCTTCTGGCACATGCTTGAAGATCTCCTGCCACGGAGACTCTACGGCCCATCTAATCTCTTCCAGAGCCACAAACCCCTTCCTAAGGGAAGACTTTTCCCAATGTGCAGCTTCCCTGCAGCTTGAGCTCATGCCTTCTCATCCTCTCTACCGTGGGTGTGAAGAGCAGACTCCTCTCCTCTGAAGATGCCATCAGCTCCTGCCTCTGTCCTCTCTTACACAGTTTAAGCAGTTGAGTTTTTTTCAGTCTTTCCTTCACATTAGAAATTTCTGGTGCTTTGGTCCTTCCCATAGCTCTGCTCTGGACTCTCTCTGTGTCTTTCTTGAAGTACAGAGCCCAAAACGGGGTGTGGGGCTCTGGTCAAAGGTTGTGTCCTGCTGTGATGGGTCTCATACACCCATGTGCACCCACGCTCCCGTCTCCGTTCACCTGCCGAGGCTTTGTTTTGCAGATGCTTTAGCAAGTCCTGAGACCAGTTTCTTGAATTAGACTCTCTTCACTCCCCAGCCCAGCGTTAAGTACCACGTTTAAAGAGTCATGTTGGTTCCCCACGTAGTCAGCAGAGACAAGCAGTTACGATATGTCCCATCCACCCATTTTAGGATGGGTAGAATGGCACTGTGGAAGAGCCCGTCTCTCCCTTGTCTCTGCAAAACTATGAAAGATGAATTGCTCCCTTGCAGATGGGGCTGGTCCTTAATTAATTCCTTGTGCTCTACTGGACTCTACTTGTTTTTTGGTCCTGAGGCAGTGCCTAAAGCATAGAATCATAGAATCACAGAATGGTTTGGGTTGGAAGTGACCTTTAAAGGTCACCTAGTCCAACCCCCCTGCTGTGGGCAGGGACATCTTCAACTAGATCAGGTTGCTCAGAGCCCCGTCCAACCTGACCTGGAATGTCTCCAGGGATGGGGCATCCACCACCTCTCTGGGCAACCTGGGCCAGTGCTTCACCACCCTCAGCGTAAAACATTTCTTCCTTAGGTCTAGTCTGAATCTCCCCCCCTTTAGTTTAAAGCCATTCCCCCTTGTCCTGTCGCTACAGGCCCTGCTAAAAACTCTGTCCCCATCTTTCTCATAAGCCCCCTTTAAAGCACCAAGAAAGGTGGTAAGTGCCCAACAGCCCCACCGCCTCCCTCCATCTCATCCTAAACTTCGCAAAGAACGATCCTGCCTGTTGGGCGGGACCTGCTCGCCGGGAAATGGCATCACCCTTTACCACCTCCATCCCGTATTGCCTCTTCGGCGGGTGGCAAGCGCAGTGGGCTATTCTTATCTGCGCCGCCTCATGCTCTCCTTGTGCGTGCTAGAGCATCGTCCGCATTCCTCTGCTGCTCCCCAGCTCCTGGTATGTGTCAGAAATGACCGTCCGGGGGGCCAAAGGTCTCAGCCAGCTCTCCGAGGGCTCTTGGGTGAACATTATCTAGGTCGGTTGATTAAAAGATGTTTATCTCTTGTAGGTCTTGTTTAAAATATCCTCTTGGTTACTAATGTACTGGAAAGTGCTTCATCAGCCACGGGGACTATAAGCACACCCTCCTGCTCCTTTCTAAGTATAGACCAGAAGGATTTATTGAACACTTGTGCCTTTCTTGCGTCATTAACAGTTTTATTATCTCCATCCAGTATCTTCTTTTGTTACTGGTAGGACTTCTTTTCCTGACCCACTTGAAGGACTTATTAATAGTCCAAATATCCACATATTTCTCTGGATGTCTTTGACTTCCTGTATTAATTTTCCAGAGCCCATAACATCTCATTTTTATGGATTGCTAGCCGAGTCCCATTCGTTACATACTCTTTTATGTGTAATTGCTGCTGGGAATCGGGGAAAGTCTCTTAACCAAATAAGGGGGACCACGTTGCCTCTGACATCTGCCGGCAGTGAGATGCTGGACGCACGGGGAGACTGGGTGAGAGGTGGGGAAGGATATGCCAGGCATACTTGCCCGGTTTGTCACGCTTTGCAGGCGAACATGAGTATCGTAACCCCTAATCCTGCAGAAAGGTCACTTCCATTGTTAAAGGCAGGTTCTGGTTTTCTTGGGTCAAACGTCTGAGTCAGGCACCTCCGCTAACAGGACGATGCTGGCACGGACAGAAATATCAGTCTCTGCTGAGGTCATTCGTGGTTTTTTCTGTCCTGGAGGAGTTTCAGGGCTGGGGGCAGAGGGATGGAAAACATCGGTCCTCAGCTGCTTCCAGGAAAGGAAAGCATCCTAGGATGCAGGGACCTCTGCGGTCGGGGAAGATAGGTGGTCAAGAGTGAGCAGAGAGGACGGGGATCCCGGGATCCCGTTGGTCTCACCTTAATTTCTCTTATGGTTTTGGGGGAGAGCAGACCTCCTCCAATGCGAGATGCTTTCCAGAGCAACAAAATCTTACTGCTTTCACCTGCTTCGTGGTGTTGTCCCTGCCGTGTTCTGATTTAACGAGCAGTTGCTGTTTTCAAATGAGATTTCTCCTGGTCCTTGGCCAGCCCTGGATTCGCTCCCAAACTCCCACCAGGACCCCAGGGTGTTCGGTGCAGCCTGCGTCCCTTTTGCATCTCAGGAGGGGAGAGAGAGGTGTGCGTACAAACCCATCTGAGCCTCAAATTGAGCATCGCAGAGTCTGATGCCCTCTGTTTCTCTCTGCAGGGATATTTCACCTGATACAGACCAAGAAGATCAGCAAACAGGAATTCAAACAAGAAGCGCAGAACTTCAGGCTGATCACCAGGACAAACGAAGGTAGGGAGAGGAAAATCCCATTTCCCCACTCCTCCGGCAGACCCTGCCCCAAACAACCCCGTGTTTTGCTTCATAAATCCCGGCACGGCGTGGGGAGCAAACCAGAGGGAGAAGGCTTGTGCAGACATAGCCAGGTCGGGGCTGACCTGTCTTCACACGCATATGCAACGCTCCTGGTTAGCAGTCACATTTTCACTTTATGGTATCAGAAAGGGCAGCCAGCTTCTAAAAGTGGATGCACGCTTGTGAAATCCAAAGGCTTTGTCTCTCCAAAGCCTGTAAAACTGTTTGATTTTTATATCTAATCCATCTGCTGTTACGGGGGAAAAAAAATGATGCAAGGGATTTGAAAAAAATAAACTCTTGAGATATTTTTTAAAATCATTCTTAATGTCCTTGGATGTGCGTAAATGTTACAAAAAGCA